GAAGAACGGGGATATTTTAATTTCCAAAATTGTAACAATTTGAAATCTTTGATCAACAATAATTTATTCTTTAACTGGAACTCATATGATGAGTGACCCTGGGAAATGTTTTTAATTTTTTAATTTCTTAATTTTTCTTAATTTTAAATAGTAATGATTTGAATTACATGTTCCACAATTTTACTTTTCACAGTTTTGTTTTTTAACAGTTTTGTAGGCTAATTATCGTACTATCTATATTTATACCAAGTTCAAGTATTGCAATTTTTTAATATTAGCTGAAAATTTCAAAACTTCTTCTAAAACTAATATAATAAAAAATTTTTTGTGAGCATTCTTGGATTAACTAAAATAAACAAACAATCACAAGTTGAAATATAAACAGATACAAATAATATTAGAAATAACTATTCTCCATTTTCAACTTATAATATATAATACTGTTAATTTTTACTTAAACTTTTGCTCTTTTAGATAAGCTTACGTATATGTATAAATAATTATATCTTTTTATTTACATTAAGCAATGAGACTGAAAGATATAAGTGTGTTTATATAAATTATTCAAGAATAAATGCTAATGTGTGCATTTATTTATAAATATGGTATATATAATTAAATATAGAGTATTTAAGCTTATTTAGCATTTATTTTCGAGATCGGAGTTCGTATTTTAGAATTGAGGTAACAGAAAATAGAAAAAAATACTTAAATGTTGTTAAAAAATTATATATGTATATCATATTAAATAATTAAATCTGTATTGATTTAATACAATATTAGAAATTCACAATCTCTTAACAACGATAATACTCTTCTTTCGGTTTGACCTGGACGTAATAAAATGTCGCGACCTGTATTCATTTTGATATATCTCAGCTAAACTCGGCAGGATTAATACGGTACATGCATTTTAATATTAGCTCGATAGTCGATCCTTCGGATGGGGAAACACGATTTTACTCCTTGGGTCATCGGGAATAGGAAACCGAAAATAAAACTCGATAAACGGTTTCGTGTTACGCGGGTCCCTTGGTATTAAACCTGCTTATCCACATTTATAATTAATTATCTTGGCTAATGTCGGACGCATATATTTGCCTTTTGCTCTTCAAGATGTATATGAAGATTAATATAAAAAAATTAGAACAATTAAAACGAGACAAAAAAACGTAATGTCTCAAATACAAGGGTAGCAATACGAGTGTCAGTATTTTTGAGACATTATTCAAAATAATAAATTATATATATATATATATATATACACACACTTAAACTACATTTTTACTAAAAAAAAAATTTGTGATTTTATTTACAAACTGAAAAAAGAGGAACAAAGAAGCAGTTTTTTGCGAATTGATTCGCTAGATGATTTGCAAAATACATATATCATATAGGCATACATACGTTACGAGTTATATTATACTCTTTGCGGAAACGAAACCGTGGAAAAAGCCGCTTTAAAGGTCATAAAACATTTGTTTCCACCGTCAACCGCTTGCCGGGGTGGTATATTGCATTCGTCCGCGCGAGCGCGGGATTTTGAATTGAATTTAAAATCAGGGGTTCCGATTTTATGGCAGTCGGGTGTCAAATGTCGAAGTGTCGCGCCTGGTCCCGGCTTATCGCCGGAAACTCTCTGAGATTTCGGGACGAAAGCTCCGAAAAGGCGTTATCGGTTTACTTCACAGGTCGCGATACAGGATGCAGAAGACCGTTCAATTCCGTTTTCGATTTGGACTTCACGTGAAAAAGTACGGAAGAGGAGCATAAAAGGGCGCAGAGGCACACTGTTTCGTTTTATTGGCTCTACTCTACCCTGATGATCACTCGAAACGATCGGGTCATACTTATAGCTCAGAAGTTCAAAGCTTTCTTCTTCCAACTTGTTGCAGATGTTTTCCGCGAGATCCCGAAATTCGCTTCCTATTATTAGCAATATTCATTTTTTTATTGCAATTTTTTTATTTCAATATTCACTCACCATCTGAGAATATTATTTACTATCTGAGAATATGACGTCAGAAGTGAGAAAATACAGAGTAAAAATTTTTGCAAATGATTTGAACAGAAATATTTTTTTAATAAAACATTTGCAATCGATAAAATAAACTTATAAAATATATTAAAAATTATCTACTTGTTTCAGGAAGAAATTAAATCATATTTGTTTCTATACATTATTAATTTGACAGTTTGTCATAGCTGTGAGTGTAATTCACTTTCTAGTTAAGCATAATCTATTTCCGAATATATAGTTACTTATTAATTAGCATTGTATATCTTACAAATCAGTTTTATTAATTATAAGTGTTGTTTTATTGAAAAACATATTTGCATAGTGATATATCCTGTAAAAATTTTTATCGTATATTTTCTCGCTTTTGATGTCACAATCTGGGATATAATAATAGTGATAAGTGAATAGAAACCCTAAATTCGTATTTTGATTAATTTCATATTGAAAGAAAATAAAATCAAAATTGATTCCATTTTTTCTACATATACTGTTAAAAAAAAATAGAAATTTGCTTCCGTTACATGTAATGAAAACAAATTTCAAGCAGATACATTAAAAATATTTAATGTGTCAATGAAAATGAAGTTATAAGTAACTTAAATTTAACGTTTACTTACATTAAATTTCATGCATATCTATGGTACATAAAATTACATTAAATTTCATGTACCTGTACACAAATATACATTTCAGTTACAGATACATTAAATTTAATTTAGTGTACAGTTGGAAAAAATGTATTGAATTTATTAGGTGTTGGAATTAATTCGTAGCGTTTTACAAGTGATGGGAAGTACTTTCATTAATGTATTTTTTAATGCTCATGTGAAATAAATAACATTCTTTCATTAAAAAACGCTACGAATTAATTCCAACACCTAATAACATAAATCGCATATCCCAAATTTTTTAGTTAATTTTACACAAGATGAATATGTTAAAAGGTAACACAAATATTATGTAAGAGAATAAATACAAAGAAAGAAAGATAAATAAGATAATAAAAGAAATCAACACAAACAAATTTGTAAGAGCATATTGTTGTAAACAAACTTGTGAACATTTATGATATATTAAATTAACACGGATTTTCATTTGTTTTAGAATTTGCATTTTAAAACACATTATTTTTATGTTACTTGTTCACTTACTCATAAATTGTGTTATTTTTACACTAAAAAACATTGAATATTAATTTCACAAAAAATCTTTAAATAACATAATCACATTATATTAAATTAACACTATATGTTAAAAATATGTTAAAAAAGTCAACACGAACTGTTAATACAAACGTAAGTTGACCATTTCCAACACAAATACACAAATTTTTTTATTGTGTGTCATAAAATTGAATTTAATTTATATAACTTAAAAGTACATTAAATTTCACAATATTTTTAACAGTGTATATAAATCTTTCAATATATACAAATATATTCAGTTTTTTCATCTTATTATTATATTTAAATAAAACAGATATAATGTCACTTTGAAGATCTCTTCTACAATGATATTTGTAAGACAAGCGGACGTTATATTAATGTAACATTGATGTCGCATTGCAATTCACAATATAATTATATCGATGTTTGCAATAATTCGTGTTAATATTAATTTGCACACGCGACATTAATATGTCGAAATGTTGCGAAATATAGATATGTAGTATGTATGTTAAATAAATAAATTTTGTAAGATTAGATCCATTGCATGGATCGTTAATATCTGGGATAAACATTATCAGATTGTAGAAATTTGCTACAGTAACAGATATTCCTTTTAGGATTCTTCATGATAACGCGCGTCATGTGCCATTGACAACAAATGTTATTAACAAAAGGAGTGTTACAATGTGGTGCGGATTAACGTCTTGAACCTTATCACATATAAACAGCTGCAGCTATATTTAGTGATATTATATGGATGAATGTTATCATATTTCGTCATTCGATAAAACGACTGTTTCATTGTTTGAATTAGCAAATTCAGTTTTATTGTCATGGCTCTAAACAACCATTACTCATATATTTCTGTGACTAGTAAATATGTGTCACTCTATGTTTTCATGTAAATGTTTCAAATACAATGCTCTCTCTCAAAGAGCATTTCAATATACTATTCAGTCAATATCACAATATTGTGTGAATGGCTGAATTAGATCTAAATGAATAATTTATCGCGAGTATATTTCATATGTTTAATTTTTTTATATTTAAATATATATATATATATATATATATATATACTCTTCACGATTATATTTAATATCGATTCATCGTAACTACTAAATAAATACTTAATTTTATATAAAATAATGTACATATAAAAAAGAAGGAGAAAGATAAAAACAGATAGAGAGAAAAAGTTTTGGAACAGTAAACAAAGAATAGTAAATATAAAATCCAGTATAAAACTAATAGTTATAATCGGTTCCATGATTAGATTAGAAGAACAATCATTGTGTGTTTTCCAACAACGTACACAGGTAATACAGTATAACACTGTGTCTCACACACAGTGTAACATTGTATTTTGCACAAAATGTTCCAACTATGATACAGTGTTACGCTGTTTGACACTGTAAAAAGCTAAATACGAGCGTGTAAAGTTTGTCAATGTTATCCACTTTTCAAAAAGTTACTTGGTAGCCATACTTATTTTGCAATAAAACCAAAAATCGCCAATTCTGAAAAAGTTATAACTTTAAATCTAAATAAAAATCGTAAATCTATTATTGATACGCTAAATATAATTATAAGAATAAAAATGGAAGACTACAATGCATTCTGGTGTTACACTATGAAACTAAACTGCGTTTCAACAAGTATCTAACACAGTGGAAACAGTGTAACGTCAGGTATCCTAATTGGAAAACAACCATTTTGGCTCTGTAAAATCCAAGGCGTGTTAGCGCAAAAAAAAGTAATAAAAAATAAATATTAATAAATTGAGATCGTCTTCAGGGATTAATTCCTACCTGATCGTTGTCTTGTTGATCTTGGCCGTAAGTGGGAGTATCACCATTAGGGGTGGTGGCGGCGGAGGGTCGCTGTGACGTTGACAAGTTGATCGCGCCGTCTCCGTCTGTATCATGATCCATTATGCCATCGTCCTGAAATCACGATCATCGTTACGTCAGTAGATACATTCTTATGCATCGAACTCGATTACAACTACAAATAAAGCGCGCTATTGGAGAACATTGCTGTATTTGTATTTTTCTATCATCACAATTTAATTTATTATAATAATAATGTAGCAATATCTGTAATAATCATATCAAAAGATGATGACTCATCGATTGATGTCAACATCGATATAATAAGAAATTAACGCACCGACTGGTATACTTTTAACTCGGTACTTGTTATGAGTTATTTTTTTCAGTAAACAACACGTAATGATGATGAGTTACTCTTTAAAAAAATAACTTTTTCAACCTTGGCGTGTAATCACTTATTCAACGTCATTAGCAAATCGTTATTATAAAAAATAACGACAAAATATATTTCTCTATGCAGAATAATATACAAATACAAATTTAGCATGAAATCTCAGTCGTACATAAATATTAGGTTAGGAGATAAAAAGATATCAGAAATATAAATAGACAAAGTGCTGTACAATAAACATGCAATAATTAAATACAGTATTTTAAGAGTATTCGGTCATGATCCCGGAACGTGGTAATCGTGACGAAATCTCGAAACGTGCAATCTTATCCGACATTGCCCTCGCGTGCGCTGATGATTTTAAATCGAAGTCTGACGCACGTGATTCCACCTACCCGATGCAAGAGAAACAATGTTTCGCGATTGCGAAGCTAATAATACATACTTTCCCGGAAATACGTAACATCGTGCTAAGATTCTGCTAAATTCACGCCAAGACTCTGCTTCCTATCATAAGCGGTGTATAATACACAATACCTATGTAGTTATCGTAAATATTTCGCAGCATCGTGCTACGCTTCAGCCATGTATAAATAATTCGTAAATTCCGACGTAATACCATACGCGAGCGTGTACAGAGCGTGTGTATATTGATGAAAATTTAAAGTAGAAAATTAAACAATAAGGTATGTGTGCATTCTGAATAGCTAATTTATTGCAAAGTTAAATGAAAATTATACAATAAGGTGCGTATGTATTATGAATAACTAATTTATTGCGAAGTTAAATGAAATTTATGCGTTAAAGCATAAGAAACAAATAAATATGGGATATAAATGTTCCGTAAAATGTTGCATTACGTTCGCGTTCTGTGCAAAATGGATTTCCGAATTAAATCATTAACATATTAATTATTCAAGAAAAATTAGTTTTTCTTGAATATCCCTCGCAATATCCCTCGATCATGTATCTTACCGCCCGGCTAAATCAGAAAGCGTCATTTTCTCCAGAAAGGAATAATTACGCGCGACATGCAACCCGTTAATTAAACATCAGCCAGTTATTTCAAATTCCATGGTTAGAAGAGGTGCGTACAGAGAGATCTTGCGCGTACAACAAAAAAAAATTGCAATCAAGCGTCGTATAATTAATGCTCACTTCATATTATCGATTATTCGCGATTAATATTACGTCACGCCTTAAGTCAGCCTAAGACGATCGCTTAATTAATTCTTAATTAACGTACGCGTCGTCGAGATTCAATAAAAATTTCTTACATCTGTTTCGGTTTACTGGTGGACGCGTTGCAGTCCATGGGAAGTAACGGAATTAACACTATCCGATGAGAAGAAAGTTCCGCTGTTTCCGGCTTCGCCGGCAAGACACCGCTATGAAACGATTCACACGACGAGTGGCATTTCCGGTCCCGAAAGCGCAACGACGTGGCGCGTACGCGGTCGCAAACACTCCGCGCCTACGTTCACTGTATACATCCGGTATGCACACGCGGAACTCCCTTCGCGATGGCGGTGGAAGTCACCGCCGCGCGGGATTGTGTCTTACGAAAACACCGATTGTACACGTTCCTTGCACTGCATCCAGAAAGCGGCACTTTGAACCTCCTCCGCGAAACTCGATCGCCAGTCACTCGCGAGGTGGTAGGGGAAGGAAGACGAGAACGAGGGGATGAGACGAGAGCGCAACCCTTGACAAATCGAACGCGACGGACAGCGCGACGGTAAAAACAATGGGAATAAAAATGACGTAAAAAATTGGACGGATTCGCGAAGAAGACGAAAAGCCCAACGTTAACGCGCTGATCCGAGTAGAACGAGGACTAAACACTAAAAGCGGCACAGGCATACCAAGCAGCTCGACCGGCGGGGCTGTTGCTTATTGTGTAAATATAAACAAATATAGTTGAAACCAGCCAACAGGCCTGCTTTCAGCTCCCCCACCTCTCATCCCCCCCGCTGCCACAGTCCTCCGCTCAATGTGTGTACCCTGCCTTCTTCTCCTCCACGTCCCCATACCCCTCCCCGTATTCCCGCGTCCCCTCTACGCGGCACATCCAAAGACTTTCTCCCCTCGTCCCGCTTAGACATCCCTTCACCACGTCCCTGACCCCACTGCTACCAGACTACATCATACACGGCACATCGTGGTCTGACTCGTCTTACCATATGTTCGTTTCTCCTTCTCACTCTCATTCTCTATCTATACCTTTTCTCTTTCTCTTTCTCTCTCTCTCTCTCTCTTTCTCTTTCTCTTTCTGTACTCGCGCATCACACATCGCCGACTCGTCGCACACTGTCGCCGAAGTCGGTGGATTACGTGCCAGCGAGGCCCTAAGAGATCTTCGAAGTTCCTCTTCTTTTTTTTTGTGGGACGCCTCCATGGATCGCAGAGAAAGGAAGCGGTCGAAGTGCGTCTTTCGAAGTGGATATTTCTGACGTGCGTGTTGTGGGAATGGCTATGATTATTCGGGACTAGTTTACGTGCTAAAGTTCTACTATCAATCAATTGGTAATTGTATGAAGAAGGAATATAAAATTTTTCCAAGCTCTATACATTTTAACGAGTTGACATAATGTAATTTATGGTATTACTATAAATGTTAGAGAAAAATCGTTTTGAATTTGTTGTAAAGAAATTACAAAATTGAATAAAAAATACAAAAGTAGTTGTTTCGAGTTATATTTGTGCATACAACGGGTATTAAATTTACTCCGATTGATTCTGAAGATATATAAAATACGAAAAGATATCATTTATTTTAAACAGAAATTTTCATTGCTCGTACACTGTCTAAAAATTTCATGAACTTTAGAAAAATGTACATTTGTTATACGCCCACACACATATACACATACACACACACACACACACAAGATATTCTTTCGACTGGAATTTCGCTGAGTATTTATAATTTATATTTCAAAATGGCGTCAAGCCATCAAGTTGCTTTTTGTTAACAAATTTCTACCGAGTAAATATTGAAACTTCTCTTTTAGAAATTATATATCGCTTTGGGGTAAAAACATACTTTGATATCTCTCTCTATTTATTACATCGTATATTTATCTATTTCTCGAGACATAATCTTGAGTTACAAACTGTATAAACAGATAGCGCGTAGTGAGTAACTTTTGACAACGCACTCTTCAACATATTAACGACACATCATATGCAGCATTGAAGACTGACCCTCTTAACTCACTCCACGATAAGCACGTCACGACTTCACTCCGCATTTCGTGAAAAGAAACGAAGTGGACGATGCAGGTATTATATATATGTGTGCGCGCGAGAGGTACGCATAAGCGATAAATACGCGTGTACACACGTGTTGCCTGACGCAACTTGAACCACCGGCTTCGAGTTTGTACAGGCAAACCGGAAATGGGGGACAAAATGTTCCTCGGAACGTGTGTCTTCAAAATATTCCTTTCACTCGTTGCCTCAGCTCCTCAACAATTGCACGATATAGAGCGATACTATACTTCCCCGCTGTAAGATACCGAAGACAAAAACACACGCTCTCAAATTTCGAATTATACCACTCATTTCGTATTTGTATGTACATATAAGCTTATTGTTATACACAGTGACACAGTAACCCTGCAAGAGATGAAGCTTCAGTTATAGCGAATGCTATTTTGCAGTTAATAATGTATTAAACAATATTTATTTATAACAGTTTTAATTTTAGCATATTGAAAAAATTAATACAACTGAATAGTTTTTAAATTATTAAGAAAAATAAAAATGAAATTTATAAAATTTATACAAATTATACAAATATCAATTTGAATCTTATTAGATCGATTTGAATCTCATTTGATTTATAAATTTCATATCTTATCAATATATGTATATTATATATGTACATAATTGTCATAAATTACTCACATCGTAATGAATACGATATACTAAATTATAGGAGTCTGAAGTTATGAATTATTATTGAAGCGCAAATTTTCTATTGACGATAGAAAATTCAAGAAACTAATACGTTAATGTATGACTTGTAAAATAATACAAAACTAAAATATATATGAATATTACTTTATTAAGAATCGTAAATATGCAAACCGTTCGAATTCTCCAAAAACTAAATTGAACATTCTAAGATGCCTTCCATTAAACTCATCAATATTTTGCTGAAAAATTTAATAGAAACCTATATTTCACAGAACACTTGAATAAATAACATAAAGCCAAAGTCGAAGTCGGGACGACTAACCTGCATAAATTTCCGTCGAAAATCCGGTGTTCGCTGTAACACGGAATTTTCACTGCATTTTCCGCAGCGGTGCTTCAAGCCTTCGACTCGCACATTCTACGCGCGTGGTTTTAGAGAGAGAGAGACCGCGTAATATAAAAATAAATTCTGCAAAAATGCTAGATGGATGGTTAACGGTGCAAACGGATATAGCCGGTATTACACGCCTCGGTACATAAAGTTCTTATTAAGCGGACTGTATAAAGATTTAACAATGAGAATGCTAATACAATCGTGCCTTTTTCCACGAGCAGCGGCATCGAAGAAAGTTTGCGAGCGACTTTATTAGACCCCCGATACCGACCCAACTATCAGAAGCATTCGAAGCGATTTCACGGCTTTAGTCAACTATTGTCGAAGAACTAGGTTGCCCATGACGGCACCATAAGGGGAACCATGTCCCATCTTTGGTCCTATGACAACAAAACTGGAGGC